TAAGTGGATAACACCGTAGAAGACCACGTCCATCACACCTTATTCACGTTGGTGTCATCAATTGAAGAGCATCTACCATCCGGAAGTTGGCGGATCATTTGGTACCCACCCACGTCTTCTCCCTCTATGATGAACTTTTATTGGGATACTACCATAGGTGTCTTTCTCAACTTTGGTGGCATCGTTTGGCTTGCTAAGACTCTTTTCTGCTAATCCTTAATAGACGAGCTTGAGTGAGGGAAACTCAAGGTGACTTTTCTATTTGTTAAGTGTGGAATCTCTTGTGTACAATATTTAAGTTTATCTTTATGATTTAGATCATTCTCAAGTGAATGTTATTCTAGCTTGTAATTGATTGCCTTTACATTATTGATAACCTTTAGTCTAAGCATCTAATCTTCTGAAACATTAGTTTATATTGCAAAGCTTAAATCAATTTTTTTATAATCTCTAATGCAATTCCTATTGGTTTCACATCACGACCACTTGACGAAGTACACCCGTTTCACCGCATTAGCATCCGGTAAAATTCTCTGTTCATCTATTTCTTACACCAAAATATGCAAACATCATGATATGTCGAAGACCATTGTCTAGGGGTGTAAGTGAGCCGAGCTGGCTTGAGATCAACGAGTCGAGCAGATCGAGTCATGAGTTCGAGCTCGAACCTATACTTAAGGTCGTATGTTAAAAGAGCTCGAGCTCAGTCTAACTCGGCTCAAAAGCTCGTAGAACCGCTCGATTAACATAAAATATATTTTAAAATCAATTTAAATTAACATTGTATAATATATTTTAACATTTTAAAACTAATTCTATATTAAAAATAAAAAATCTATTTTTTTTTTACTTTTAATTTAAAACTAAGAAATCAAACTCGAGCTTTTCAAACGAGCTCGAGCAATCGAGCCGAGTTTGAGCCTATTAATTTTTTAACGAGCCGAGCTCGAGCTTGACAAGATCTAAACAAGTTTAACCAATTTAGATTGATGCTTGACTCGACTCGATTAGTGTACACCCCTACCATTGTCTCTGACCAAACTTGCATCTTTATGAGCATATCATGAAGAGCCTTGTCCAAATAATTGGATACTAAGCTTAACATCAGCTCCACACACCATCCTGAATCCAACGAGGTCCCAAACCACCCCCTCGAACAATACCTCCGCTGCTATATCATCAACTATAAAAAGTGCATGAAGTTCTTCCATGAGCAGTTTTATCATACAATACGTCTTTCAATTCTTAAATTGAGAAGACCCCATCTCATCAACTATACAACAGCAACACAAACCACACATCCTTACATTGACAACAACTGTGCAATGGAAATAGTGAACAAATGGCTACAAAAATGTGATCAAGTCCTCCAAAACATGTTTACCCTACGCTCGACTGCGTATGAAGCAAAAAGCCAATATAAAATGTGGTGACATTCAGTTTGAAGTAGGTGATTTCGTCCTCTTATCAACAAATCTCTGCCATAAGTGAATGACACTCTAAGCTTAGCCGATGTTAACATAACCAATATCCCATTAAACAAAGGATCGAGTTTACAAAGTTACACAGCCTACTGTTAGGCCAGGCCTGGTTCAGGTGTACAAACGGCGGGCGGAACTAGAGAGAGAGGCAGATAATGGGATGGGACCCACATACTAATTAAGTTTTGTGTTGGAGAAAAAAATTCAAATTAGAGGCTATTTAGGGATTAAGTAGTTGCCATTTGCTTTAATTAGTCTCTTCTTGTTAGGGTTATCTTGAATTTTGAAATCTGAATTTAAGATCTTGTGTTTGGTTTTGGGCTCTAGGCTTTGGCTAGAGATTTGAAGAGTGGAATCTTTCTCTCGAATTGAAGATTCATTTTATTGGGTTGTTTCTTTTCTTTTCCCACTCAATTCTAAGTGATTTTTTCTGGTGATTTCTCTCCAAAATCTGTGAAAACTGCTGAATTATTGCTGATTTTTTCTGAAATTTTGGATTATTTTTCATAATTTTCTATTATTTTGTGTTGTTACCTATCACCTTCTCACTCCAAAATCCATCCGATTTTCCATCTTTCTTTACTAAAATGTTTCAAAAGGATCGCCATCTCCATGCAATGAGTCTACCATAAAAAACATCGGAAAATCACCCTGTTGTCCAACTGGAATCAACTTTGCATAGCTGCCAAATCTACAACAACAAGCAAACCCAATAGCAACACTTAATTCAATGGTCAGGAATTCCATCCAAAGAGGCAACATGGATACCTTATGATGAACTAAACAATAGTGAACTTGAGGGAATTGTTATAAACCAGCTAAACCATGATATACTACCAGCACCAATTCGAGCGAAAGCCACATGGGTCTATAAGGCATTGGCATGGCTCAACAATTTCTGCCATTATGGAGGATGACGGTGAGTGATATGGGGTATATTATTTACTACATATTATCATACAAGCCTAAGGCTTTGTTTGTGACAGCTTTCTTACTGTTTTTTAAAACAGTTTTTCAGTACAAAAATTTCTAGTTCAAAACATTTTTATACTAAAAAGCTGCTCTAGAAAATATTAAAAAAGTTATCTCAAACAAAACCTAAGTATCTTATTTCTATTGGATAAGTTGTTATGAATAGTAAGAGTTATGGGACGCTTGTTATGAGATCATAGATTACGTTATAATTAGAATATATCAACATGTATTATTTTGAAAAGGGGTAATGAACAACTTTCTAAAACTATCTTATTTATCTATTTTTTCCCCTTTTTCTTCTGTTCATTGGAACATTGTTTTTCTAAGGGGCTGTTGGCAGCCATCGAATTGCTGTGCCGTGTTACATCATCATAGCATTGAGCTACTCCATCACTCCATTGATATCCTCCTCCCATTGTCATTGAGATATATTGCTTCGGAATTGAGCTACCATTGCTTCCATTTGGTTCGATGTCTACAATAGCCTTCAATTCTCCTATCAGATGAAGAAGGAAGAAAACTGCATAGCAACGATATGAACAAGACCAAACTGAGACAATTGAAAGAAAGCGGCGCAACTTGGCAAGAAAAGTGTAGCGAAGAGAAAGGGTAAATTTGCTAAATTCCATTAAAGTGTATGAATCTAAGATTTAGCCTTTAATCATACAAAGGTTTTGCAAAAATTCTATATAGTTAAAAACCCTCCTAGAATCAGACTAAAGCATGCTACAAACAACCCCACAGAACAATACTTCTCCATTCCTGCTCATCCTCATAGGCTTTCATGGAATGACTAGACAGTACTATTTCGCATTAATCTTGCATGCACTAAGCGTTACCCATATGTTAATAAAAAGACTTTCCACGACTTCATCCACATCTCCAAATATCAATAGAGATAACCTTTGACCTTACCAGACGCTACAGGCACGTCCTCTAACTTTAAGACCAAACAGCATAACTTCGTTACACTGCTAAGCATAAAGAAATAAAGGGAACACGTGTGGTATATTGATGGCCCCACTAAGGCGGGCTGCGGGCCCCACTAAGCTGGGCTGCGGGCAAGAAGAGCAAGTGGATTAATTCCGCTTTACTTGTCATAGAAAACTGAAATTGGTAGGAAATTAGAAAAGTTTATTTAGGGAAGAAGCGCTGATTTGAATTAAGTTTTGAGAGGGAATTATAAAAGGTTTATTTAGAGAAAGAAGACCGATTTGAATTTAGATTTGGGAGGGAATTAGGAAAGGTTTATTTAGGGAAAGAGGCTTAATTTGAATTCAAATTGGGGAGGAAATTAGGAAAGATTTATTTAAGGAAGAAAGAGGGCTGAATTGAATTCAAATTTGGACGAAAATTAGGAAAGATTTATTTAGGGAAAGATTACTCATTTGAATTCAAATCAAAGTATTGAGAGGTGAAAATTTTGGGACGAGAATAGGAGATGCCACCTTTGGAGCCACTTTCAAGGAGGGGAAAGGGTGAATGAGTGGTATTTTTGGTGGAGATGCAGATTTTGGAAGGAGAAGATGGGGAGAAGATAGAAGCACCAGATATGATTCAACCACTCCAATAATATCGAGAGGTGTTCCAGCTGGTTTAGGAGTTGTCACCTCCGCGGGAACACGAGCATGCTATCAACTTGAAGGAAGGAGTCTCACCTATCAAAGTTCATCCGAATCATTATCCCCAAATCCAGAAGGATGAGATCGAGAGATTGAACAGAGAGATGTTAGAGGCAGAGATCATTCAACCTAGTGTCAATCTATTTTCTAGTCCAGTCATATTAGTCAAGTGCTTTAGTAGCAATTTCTTTCGTTCCACATTGAGGACAAGGTGACTCTTTGGGAGTGGAGTATTGATGGACTAATTGAGCAAGTGGCCCCACTAAGGTGGGTGGCGAGCAAGAAGAGCAAAGGGGATTCATTCCACTTTACTTACCATAGAAAACTAAAATTGAGAGGGAATTAAGAAAGTTTATTTAGGAAAAGAGCGCTGATTTGAATTCAAATTTGGAAGGGAATTAAAAAAGGTTTATTTAGGGAAGATGACTGATTTGAATTCAGATTTGGGAGTTATTTGAGGGAAAAATGTTTGGTTTGAATTCAGATTTGGGAGGGAATTAAAAAAGATGACTGATTTGAATTTATATTTGAGAGGGAAGCAAGAAGATTTATATTAGGTTTTGTGGAGAACCGATCTACATCTCGAATAGTAGATCAACATGTATCTTGGTTTGATGTACCTTTATCAAAGAGAATTAGCCCATAATCTTTTCCTTTCTTGCTGATTTCTGCTGCATTTTTCCTTCAGCATTGATCATTTTGTTGTGAGAAGATCAGATTCCTATCATATATTTGAACATAACAATGGTCTATAGTTCCTTTCATCTTCTGAAAAAAACTTTAGCAAATTCAGCAAACCATGGAGCAAGAAAAATATTAAAGGACACAACCTTTTTTTGGAAGAAACATAGTGACTAGGAATTCTTTGAGCCCATTCATATTCAGCCGAACTTAAAATGAAACTCAAAAGGTTTCGCAGCTGTTAATTTAAACAAATCTAATTTCTGGACGCTTAACTCATTGCATAGCAGTCAATAGTTTCAAGCGCATTGAAGCTGAAAATATCAGAATCTAAACTATACAATCACCTATATTTTTAATTTTCAAATTACTTTTACACAATTATCTTGCAAAATCAAGTGGAACTTATAATGGCAATATAAAAGAGGTGGATAATACTTGCACTCATACAAAATAAGAAACTTTGATAAAACAAAATTCATTGAAGGACCTGCTTCTTGACGTGATTTGTTCATCAAAGGACCTCGTCACTTTATGAAGTATACAACAAGAATGGCCAGTAAAATAACCAAAAAAGCGAGCAACAGGCTTGACCCTGCATTTTAGCAAAGCATGAATCCGATGTAAAATAAACACAACTTTTACATCATAATTTCTATTTGTAAAAGTTCAATTCACAATTAAGATCATTGTAATCAAACTCTCATGAATCAAAATATATTAAAAAAAATAACAGTTTACCGTTGTTTTTTGTGTTCTCTATTACCGTCACTCTTGCAGTTGAGTCGAAGGAAGTAGATACCAAAGCCCTGTGCGCAAAAAGAGAGCGGCTTAGTTCTAATTGTGCATATTCATCTATTTGCATCATCTGTGCTCTTTTTTCTTTCAATTCATTTAATGTTTCTATAAAGTAATCTGATTCATTACCTGGAGTCTTGGGAGAACTCTAGTGCAGTAACAGGACCAAGGTGTGCTTTTTTAACTGACATCTGGACCTTGAAATCTGAGGAATTAATGATTGCAATGTCACCTTCTACGGTGCCACTGCAAATTCAAATATTACGCTTATAAAAACATTGGCTTATCATTACACTAAGAAGTTACATCTTAAAGAAAAAAGATTAGTAAAAAGCAATCCTGCAAATATAAATAGACTTAACACTTCAAAGAATTCTTATGAACATAGAAGTTCAATTAAAAGGGAAGTTGTTAGTTCCTAGTGTTGCTTGCTTCAAGGAAATCATAATAATAACGATGCTTTGTCTGACCCTTCAAGGATGGTACATAACTTGAATAAATTGCTGATACGAGCTGAAATGTTTCAGTTAGTATGATGCAATTTTTTTCTTAAAATATTCTCCAAAACCCTGATTATGTCCTCTCTGTCCATGATCATTTATGCAACAAGTTTTTCCAAGATAAACAATTAGTCTGGTAAATTCCCGTGAAACTACTTTAGGCCCATTACTATCATCATCAGTAGCTTTATCATTTCTACTTAACGTGGACTACGTGAATTTTTATTTGCCATTAATTCCAGTCAAATTAGCATCAGGTGTATCAATTTTCTCTGCAAATTGTTTTTACACAATTAAACGTAGAGGTAACCTAAAAAGATTTAGGTAGAAAATATTAGAAATGTCATTTTTTTTATTAGATTTAAATGAGAATTTGACTCTTCATATAGCACAACGGAGACAAAAAGATTCATATAGCCAATCCCCGGGTCGAGTTTTAGGTCGTGTCAAATATTGACACCCCTAAGTTCAACTATGATATAAAATGAGAAAAATCATATAATAACAACAACAACAAGCCTTTATCCCACTATGTGAGGTCGGCTACATGAATCTTTTTTCTCCATTGTGTCCTGTTAATAGTCAAATTCTCATCTAAATCTAATAAAAAAAGATCATTTCTAATATTTTCTAACCAAGTCTTTTTAGGTCTACTTCTGTCTTTCTTAACATAAATCAAATATAATACATCTACTTTCCTAACTAAGACATCGGAAGGCTACTGTTTTATGTGACCAAACCATCTAAGGCAACTCTCTCTAATCTTATCTTCCACTGGAGCTACTCCAACTTTCACATATATACTCATTTCGTATTTTGTCTCTAAGAGTAAAGCCACTCATCCACCTGAGCATCCTCATCTCTGCAACACCTAACTTAATATTATGCTTCTCTTTTAATGGCCAACATTCTTCACCATAAAACATTGCAGGTCGCACTATCATCTTATAGAATTTTCCCTTAAGTTTGAGAGGGACTTTTCTATCACACAACAAGCTCGATGCATTCCTTCACTGCAACCATCCAACTTGAATTCTACTAATAATATCCCCATCAATTTCACCGTCACTCTAGACAACAGACCCAAGATCATATAAAATTCATAGGCCATAAATAATAAATCTTTATAATATTCATGAATTTTGATGCAAATAAAAAATATAATTAGATTCAATATTAGTGATGGTCCAATAGTCTTCCACTACATAAAGTTTAGAAATTCAAACCCATAAATTCATGCAATAAGTTGAAAATCACGCTCTCATTAAATCTAGATTCTACCACTTAGTAAAATCACGCTCTCATTAATCCAATAAAATATTTTGGAATGATAAATAAAATTAAGAGGAAAGAGATCACCAAAGATAATATAATCAAATTTCACACTTCTACAAAGAGATAACTTCTCCTAAAAACTTTCAACCCTCTAACTTGATGGAGGAGCAAAATCCCATCCAACTGAAATTTTATTAAAAATCAATTGATTTCTATGCAAAATAAAGAATCTAATTTATTTAAAAAAATCTAAAATCCCAACCAGTAAATCAAATCATGCCAAAAAAACTCTCATCTTGAAGAAATCCCAATAGCAAAATCTCGATGCAATTCATGATAAAGTAAGCTGCCTGTAAATCAATGATGGGAATCATAACAAAGGTAATCACATTGTAAGTGATGTAGAAATATGTAGAGGCCATGAAAGTGGTAGAGGAAGTAATGACGAAAGTGGTGGAAAAACCTGCAACATCAACAAATGTAATAGAGGTGGGCAAGAATAGGTATGCTGGGAAGCATAGTCGAGAGGAAGCTCAAAATCATTGCTCAAGGAAATGCCACACATTCATTTTGTTGATAGAATTTTACGTTCCATAGCAACATGCACTAGAAAATTCTTTCTAAACATTGATGAGGCTAGGAATCCAAAGTGCATAGCATTTAGATGAATATTGATTCCGAAGCACGTCATTCAGTAAAGTTCCACGTATTCCATCTACACTTTTCAGATATTCATTATCTATTTTAAAGGCTCTGGCTTAATTTACGAGCAGTTGATCAAGTATATGTTTGTGTTCAAGGACGCTAAAATCTTTCAAAACAAACATTTTCAACATCTATTTTCCAAACCAAAGCAAGATTTTTTTAAATAGGAAAATGCTCTTCTAAATAGAAATGCAACATTAAACCTGAAAATATCAAATGATTAAAAATAAATAAATGTTCTTATATTTTTCGTGAGCAACTGAAACCAAATTCACAATAATTTGTATTGGTCTTGAAAAGAAGATATAACATGTAGTACGAAAATAGAAAACATATCTAAAGGTATTGATTAAGCAAGTTATTTTAAGAAATAGTATCTTAGTTAAATGTTATGATTACAAAAGAGATGTAATGCTAATGGGAGAAATTTGTTGAACTATATCTTAAAGACCACGAGCATTTGTCATTTAAGAAGAAACGTTCTAGTGCTGACACATATGAAAGGTTTTAAGATTATGATAACTAAGGGAAATCAAGTTTATGAATCATACTAAAAGTGACGAGATGGTAATAGAATATGGAACTAGAAAAAAAATATCAGTTAGAGAATTATCATGGCTTAATATAAACAAATCTATTAAAGAGGCAATTTTTTTATCATGATAATTAATGAAAAGTATAAAGATCAGGGAAAGAATCTTGATAAGATATTACTGATCATGAAAAAGGCAAATGATCAGATATCATGGAGTTTTTTATGGGCATTAAGAAGAAAAGTCATAATATATATATATAATGGAGTTATCTAAGCTATGTATGATGGAGCAATTATAAGCATTTGAAATAATTCACAAAGTTGATCTTAAAGGAGGGTAATGATGATGATAAATTATTTTGTAGAAATCAAGGAAAATACCAGATTTTATGTGACATAATGAATAAAATGAAAGGATTTAAATGACATAGCAGTTAATGAATAAGATGCAGCTCAGGTTGCATACATTGCAAGGAATTTGCCATCATATGATACACTGAACGCAGAAATTGGATCATGCCCGATCTTTTTTAAACTGATTCTCTTCCACGAAGAGCTGCTCCAAGAAATGACCTTTCCCACATCATCTGTAATATGGAAATTTAAGTGGATGGATCACGAAAGCCATCAACCACATATCGCCATTCAAGCAAAGTATAGAAGAGTAAGGTGGGTTGCTTTGTTCGTAATGAAAAGAACATTATCAGCATAGAGATTTACCATGCATTGATATAACATATAGGATATCACTACTCTCAGAAAATCTGCAGAAACAAAACTTTTCACCCTGCAAGGAAAGAGATTAGAATATTTATTACATGATATATCGAAAACATTCAACTATTCACAAGATACTGATGGTTGCTTACTTCCTCTACTTGTAGATTTGTTACAAAAGTTGATGATTCCAGATCCCAAACTCTGCAAGGGCCACTGCCTCCTAGAGAAACAAGGAACTTCCCATCGGAGCTGTTAAATGTATGTTAAAAGAGTGAGGATTTAGGTTTAATAGAATCCAAGCATAATTATTCGATGGATATTTTTCGGCTACAGATTTTCTGAATGAGAATCCAAGTACCTGAAATCCACATGCTTAACAGTTGTATGCGCATCGGTTTGGTTAAGGATAATGTCCATGCTAGGCCAATTAAAAACCCTCAAATGGCCATCCTACAAGAAGCACCATTTGACTCAAATAAATTTGATCAATACCACATGTTTTAAAATGCAGAAAGTGAAAATGAAAACAATTTTATTTTATTTTTTCTAAAATCACGTTGAAAAGAAAACATATCCAATAAAAATGCAGACAGCACACAAAAAATGAGTTACTTCTAAGGCGCTGCTATAATCGATCAAGTAAATTACTACTGAAAATTAAGTAATATGAACTAATACTATAAATCAATTATCAATAGATATTATTAAGAGATAGAGTGATATCAAGGTCTTATATGTTTAAAGTATCTTGAACCTAATATATAGAAAATAAGAATATAGACAAGAGCATAACTTTTAGAGATAAGGACGAGTGGTTCAAACAAAAGTGCCTTGTGATTATTATACAATGAGAGGATATCACTGATACATATAGGTAAATTTTATTAAATCATAATTAGGCAGGCAATATTGCATGGATTTTAGTGTTGGGTAGCAAAAAATTCATCAATATCTAAATTGAGCATGAAAAAATAAGAAAGTTAAGATGGCCATGTTGACAAAACTAGTAAGGGTAAATCAAGAAATGTGTTAAGTAATTTGAACACTAAAAGGCGGATCGATGAATTGCAAAGAGACATGCAACACAAGGGTAAAACTAGACCTGGAAAAGATTTAGTAAAGCAAAGATGGAAGGCTTTAGAATTTGAAGCCTGGTTGGAAGCAAGTTTGAAAGGTTTGTTGGTCCTAATGGCAGAAGGACCCAAAATGAAAGATAGGTCAGATTTGAGATCAAATGTTGGAAAATATTGAAGGATAGGAAGCAATGAGAAACAAGAAAAAGTTAAAACTAATTCAGGAGATGAGAAACGAAGATTAGAAAGTTTTTATAGGATGTTTGTATGTTGTAAAATACCTTCATATATAAGGAATAGCTTCCTAAGTTGTGTAAAGTAGAATCTTGCATACATTTAACCCTTATAGATGGAATAAACCAAGAGAAATTTAAGTAGAAAATTTCTACTTTGCTTCTGTTAGGTCGGTTCCTAAACCGACCCAGCCAGCCCCACACGGGTCGGCCTTAGTCTATAGGAGGTGGGTCAAATATATTGGAAATAAAGGTATGTGAAACTCCAATAGAATCTGGTGAAAATTTGGTAATAATGAAGAAGGTAAGGCAACAGACAGAAAAATATCTTTATTTGTAGGAAGGCTAACATACCTTTCTCATATTCGATCAAATATAGCTTTTATTTTAAGCTTGATTTGAAGTTCAAGCACACACCTAAAGAGTCTCATCTTAAAGTTACTCAAGAAGTTCTTAGATAGTTGATATCCATCCTAGAAAAATGAATCCTATACAAAAGGAATGAAGCTCTTAGACTGGAACGCTATATAGATGATGATTATACAAGATCACTCATGGGAATAAAAGGTCTATAGCAAGTTATTATACTTCACTAAAAGGAAACTTGATAATATTGGAAGTAAGAAAAAGGCAGGTAGTCACAAGATCATGTGGTGAGTCTGAATTCAAAGCAAAAGCATGAGAAATTTGTGAAGAACCATAGTTGTAAATTATTTTAAGTCTCAAATTAAATGGGAAGGACACATAAGGTGCTAAAATCAAACATAATGTTGAAGCCAACTCTTGGTTGATTGGCAAGTGAAAGATTTTGAAGAGTAAGATATAGATCGTTAGCTTCCTTTGTCAGTACTCACTTCCCCAAAATACTAGTGCCTACTCTTCTCTCTAATTGATCAAATCGTCCTACTAATGACCTGATATTCAAAAGCAAAATGATAAAGGAAGAAGTTTATTTTAAAATTCAAGTTTATGGTAATTTTATGAATTGATAAAAGATTAGTAGATAGTTTTAGAACTTGAGTTTGGATTATTTTTTCCTTGGCCAACAACAGTTATAGATGAGTTATCTGCAATAGTATTTTTTCTATTACGAAGTCCTGATTTATAAGTATTGAATTAGAATAGACTATGATTCATATGATCTGTAGCTTCTAAATTAATGATCCAAAAGTTATTAAGGGTAGAATTGAGGCTTATAAAAAAATAAATAAAGGGTTCTTACCAGATTAAGTTAATGAGCATGCATCAGATGATTTGGCAAAAGAGTTGAGAAGATCACGAAGTATGGTAATTTATTCCTTCTAGAAGCTTTCATCTTAATAGGAGTAGGGGTTTATCATGAGAAAACACATTGCTATTAATATGATTAAATTAAATTTGTCCGTCAAATCCCCAATTCTGGCTGAGAATGATTTCCAGGTAAACTCAAAGCAGCTCTCTCATATGATGTTTTTTTAATACATAAACTAGACTAATTCTTACTTCAGCAATTTTGTACTCTTCTAATTTATTGTTTTATGTTTGATTTATGCCTTTTATTCTCATCATCATTGAGTTTCCTAGCCATCATGGTCGACAAATATACGATGTGGGAGCTAAGCATCACACTGCTACTTCCCTCCGCACGAATGTTACACTCAAAGATGGTAGTGTTTCTTTTCCAACAAATATATCTAAATCAAATCAAATTCAACATTGAGACTGTCATGAATTCAAAGATTTTCTACTTTTACACAATCTTCTTCACCTACATGGCATCATCACCGCAGTATCCAGATAATTTAGTAGTGATATAGTTCAAGCCAAAATCTCCTCATTAGATCATAATAATATGTGCATATTAAGTACCTTATTTTTTTCAGATGATATCCTTGTCATAATTTCATGGGTCAAGGCAACATCACATATCTTAGAATAGAATTAACAAATGAATTACCATATTTCCTAGGAAAAGTACAATTTCCACTTGAGTTTTGGCTTCACAGAATTCCATAGTCGTGACATGATAATGGAGTCTTACTTATGCTAAGCATTGAATTTGGATCTTGCCCTATTTCAATTAGGTGATTTAGCTTCGTTGCATCCTAAATTCTAGCTGTATAAAATTCCGCTACCTAATTCATTTTCAAAAGTTATTAATAATTTAAGGAATATCAAACAAAGGCAAGAAGTCATATTTGAATAAAGGTTAATGAAAGATCCTCAAATCCTTCATCAAGATTAACAAGTTTGAAAGATAAATCAGCAATGAAAGTTGATTATCTAGATCAAAGACAGAATCAAAAGGGTTGTTGGTCTTCATAAACAATGATAACCGAAAAGAGTTAGCTAGTAGACCAAGAAGATGCCAATAAAAAAAAATTATAATGGCATGGTAGCATGCCAATGAACTATAATATTCCAATGAATAGAAAAAACAACATGAAAACAACAAAATGCCAGAATAAATCTAGCGATCAACAATAGTAGCACAATGGAAGGACTGTATCTACATAAGAATTTGCTCTAATACAATAACAACAACAACAACAAGCCTTTATCCCACTACGTGGGGTCGGCTACATGGATCCTTTTTCTCTATTGTGTCCTATTAAAAGTCAAATTCTCAAAAAAAAAAAGTCAAATTCTCATTTAAATCTAATAAAGAAAGACAAATTTGCTCTAATACAATGATAAAAAAAATCAATAGTGAAACAAAGTGTGGAGAATAGGTAATCAAATCTTCTTGCTATTTCATAGTCAGTCACTCTTCTACCATTATTTATACAAGGAAGAAACCATATTAAAAAAAAGACAATATTCATAATCAAAGGAAAAGAAAGAAAAAAATAATCATACATTGATATAAGTTATTGCTTTTGTCAAGCGAATGAAGAAAACTATTAATACACAAAACATCATATTTCACACATGTGTGAATTTAACATGAAAATCTAGATCCCTAGGATTACACTAGTGGATCCCTTAAATTGTTGCCTTAGATTACCACCATGGATAATTGGATTGTCGCCAGTTTCAATAATTCTCAATTACAATATGATTAAAATATAATATTTTTACATCAAAAATGAGTATTAAGTCTGTATATTTGATGCGGGCAAAAATCCGGGGGATGGGGGACCCGAGGACCTCTGCCGGCAAAAGGACTAAAAATACTACTAAACACGCTCGCAAAAAGGCGAGCAAACTCTTACATTTCAAGTAAGACTAAGAAGAAGAAAATTAAAAGACTACAAACAACAACTTCATAAATTGGACACTTACAAAATAGACTCGAAATAAAAAGACACCCTAAAATTGCTTCACTTATAGAAGAGGGATACAGGTGGAGTGGTACTTGCGGAGAGACGAAAGAGATTAGAAGCCAAGACGAAGGGTGGAAAGAGCTCGCAAGATTTCCTGAGGAGATGAGAAGAAGGTGGACAAAGCTCGCAAGCTTTTCCAATGAAACCCGCAGGTTTACATTTCCAAAATAACTTATCATTCACTTCTTAAAATATTACATAACCTCTCATATTTATAGATATGAAAGGGGGAATACAAAAAGCCACAACATTGAATTCTCACAAGAATCCAAACATCACAAACTATAAAAAACCCCTTTGCTTTTTAAGGAAAAATAGCCCAGCCCAGGAACCGAAGAAGCAACCAGGGGAACCAAAGGGGCCGCACGGAACCGAGGCACCAAAAGCCACGGGAAAGCCCCCAAGTTCGGAAAACCAGCAGCCACCGTGAGAACCAAGGAGCCATGGCACGGGAACAGGCAACCCGTGGAAGCCAAGGAGCCAAGGCATGGGGAAAACAAACTTCCTTGGGATTCCAAAAGATAACTATTAATTAATATAATATTTTGGAATCCCAAGGGACAACTTAAATTAAGACATAAAAACTATAATAAAATTATATTAATTAAAAGATAACTATGAACTAAAACTTAGCTAATAATGAGCTAACCCTTAGTTCAATAAATGAACTAAAGACCAGCTCATAAATGAGCTAAATTTCAGCTCAAATTTCATTGAGCTTGTAAACTCAAGGGAAGCCAAAATAAACTTATTTTGGGTTTGAGTTGACCCCCCCCCCTCTTGTCTACATCAGACTCCCCTTCTTGAGAACTCATCTCCCGATGAGTTAGCTTTTGATTCTCTTGAGGAGGTGAAGACGGTGCATCCAGCTCTTTGATCTTTTCTTTAAATTTCTTCCTGCTCTTTCTCGAATTGCCTTTGTAGATATCTCTTCCACTTCTCGAATTTTTGATCACATAAGAACATGTGATATTGAAGCTTGTATAAACAGTCTTGAAGCGGATCTGTTGAATCACCTTCTGTAGAAATCCATCTGTCCAACGAAAGAGGGACATCAGGATTATCTTGATTGATTTCCTCCATGAATGAAGCCATTTTTTTGTTATTTTTCATTTTTTTAACTGATTCAAAAAAAGATTAAAAAAACTCGACCTAAACTTAGACTCGCAATACTTTCAAGACTCACCAACCTAAAAAAAACTTAAGACTCACAATAAGACTCACGACAAGACTTGACTTGACAAAACAAAACTTGACAAACAAAAATAAGACTTGACAACTAAATCCTAGGACTTTCTAACTTGCTCTGATACCAAATGACGCGAGCAAAAATCCGGGGGATGGGGGACCCGAGGACCTTTGCCGGCAAAAGGACTAAAAATACTACTAAACACGCTCGCAAAAAGACGAGCAAACTCTTACATTTCAAGTAAGACTAAGAAGAAGAAAATTAAAAGACTACAAACAACGACTTCATAAATTGGACACTTATAAAATAGACTCGAAACAAAAGACACCCTAAAATTGCTTCACTTATAGAAGAGGGATACAGGTGGAGTGGTACTTGCGGAGAGACGAAAGAGATTAGAAGCCAAGATGAAGGGTGGAAAGAGCTCGCAAGATTTCCTGAGAAGATGAGAAGAAGAAGGTGGACAAAGCTCGCAAGCTTTTCCAATGAAACCTGCAGGTTTACATTTCCAAAAATAACTTATAATTCACTTCTTAAAACATTACATAACCCCTCATATTTATAGATATGAAAGGGGGAATACAAAAAGCCACAACATTGAATTCTCACAAGAATCCAAACATCACAAACTATAAAAAACCCCTTTGCTTTTTACGGAAAAACAGCCCAGCCCAGGAACCGAAGAAGCAACCACGGGAACCAAAGGGGCTGCACGGAACCGAGGCGCCAAAAGCCATGGGAAAGCCCCCGGTTTGGAAAACCAGCAGCCATCGTGAGAACTCCCCCCCCCTTTGTCTATATCAATATTTTATTATTTTTGCATAGGTTATGAAGATATTTTCAAAGGATATTCGAAGTGGGGAGCTATGTTGTATATTTTTCGCAAATGGCATAATTAAATCGGTTATGCATCTATTGAAATACGTGAAGAATTGGAACAATCAATAATTATTTAAAAGATAAAAAACATAAATATTAGCATAATAAAAATTGAACATATGATATGCAATTTTAATGAAGGCAATACTTATCAATATTAGTCAATATTCTAGAAGAAAATTGATATATATGAGTGATAGGCTTAATATATATATTAAATATAAAATTATATAGTTAAAATAAAGGAGTGTATTATGAGATTTCAACAAGAGAATATCATGAAAACCTAAAAGTAAACTCTATAAAATAAATTTGAATAAAATAGAATATGTGGGCCCAATAAACAAATTGAATGATGGCTTTAATTTTTGTAGCTCAATTGAATCACTTCTAATAGGAGTTTAGTTTTCATGTTTTTTTTTTTTTCTTTAAATTTCGTGCATATAATATTTCTATTCTATGAGAGTCATGTATATTGATAATATACGTTCTTTAGATTCCTTGGGTTCATTATATAGTTCATGTGGCTCTATATTGTTCTCCAATTCACTGTTGGATTCTCAGTGGCCTCCCTGCTTATATTACGTTAGTGTGGATTGCCCTAGATGTTAGACACATTATTAATGTTCTCTAGTTCATTAGATTTTCTTGACACCTTGTGGCCTCCTGCCTCCATGATTTCTACTTCGGCAATGAATAGTAAAGGTAAACATGCAACTTTTCCAGTAGATGTCTTCCTTCCATTATAGTACCTTCTACTGTGAGATTTAAGCAGCCATTACAAGTTCAGGGAGCGTTGTAGGAAAGTTCATAAACGACAATCTAAATTGCTAGAATGGTGGCTTTAGTTCTAGATGCAAGCGATAAGATACGCAAATGTTGGTGGCCTTTTGTTTCCACCTCTGTTGCCAAAAATTGGATTTTATATCCATGATTTAAAAAAAAAAAAAAAAAACTCATTGTAAGATTAATAATATAAAGGGGTTTTTCACATGTAAATATACAATTAAGTTATTTTTTGAATAAAATTTTAGTTAGACTTATTATTCCTTCTATTTTTGAAAGTCTACTTCTTAATCAAATGAGGGACATAAAGATTCCAGCAAAGTCTGTCTCCTAATACAAGGGAATTGATTTGATGACTTTCTTTTAACTTTATTTAGCATCTCTAAAACAAGGTATTAATTTGAATCCATGATTAAGTTTATTCAAATTTAATGCAAGTTGAGTTTCTATAAATGTGTGATTTTCAATTAGTTGCATGACTTTATAAATTTTAAGCATTATTTCTAGTTGAAAGATTACTAAATTATCATCAAGATTGATTTTGTCATATTTTGTTCGTTTTCATTAAATGTAACGTATCATTTTTAAATTATGGGTTTGTGTGATGGATGATTTCATGCATATCATGGCAGACCTGCATTATAAATCATAGATCATAAGATGACCTACATCATTATGTTGTATGGTTATCAGAGTTTAATAATAAAAAGTTATTGATAACCTAGCTAAGCGTGATAAAAATAAAAATGTTAAAATTGATGCATGATAAAATTAGGAAGATTATATTGAAAAATAGTTATATTAGATGAACAATGGTAGTGGCAACTATAGAACAAACAATGATTATTTATAAAGCTAACATCAAATAATTTGGATAACGATAAAGAAGATCCATAAATAAGTTACAATGCTAACATTTCAAGTCATTGCTGACAATATATATATATATATAACCAACACAGGAACTTAAGCTAAAATACAGGTTAGGCCATCTTGAAGGATTAACTTAAAAAAAAAACCAACATTGATTAGCACTTAACACTTGAGGAATGTTGCAATAATAGAAGATTTAAATCATAATAGTTCCTTAATTTTTTTGTAAATTTTCTCTGACTATGCATGATGTAATAATTATTGTTTAAATAATATACCTCACCACCAGCTGCCAGTGCAGTACCATCACAACTAAAGGCTAGCGCTAACTGCAACCCAACATCTTCTAGCTGCTGTAATATATATCCAGAGGATTTAATTACTAGCTTACTCGGCTCCAAGCTATTGGGGATGTCCCACTCAAAGCACCTATAAGATACCACAAATAGAAAAAAAAATTATACAATATAATCAAATTTAAGGAGTAAAATGAGAATGAAAATATCAAACTCTACAACATCATTGTCTTTATTCCAACTATTTGAAGGTAGTTATATAAATCCTCCAATAAGTCACGATGAGTGTTAATATGAGTTTAACTCTATTTTGAGCATATTTTTCTTTCAAAGGTTTATAACCATTACCACACTACCTTTGCCCCACCCATTTTCCTTTCTATTCATTTGGGTAACTTTACATCAATCAACCCCAACAACAACAATATCAAGCCTTTATCCCACTATGCGGGGTTTGGTGCATGAATCCTTTTTCTCCATTGTGTCTAGTTAAGAGTCAAATTCTCATTTAAATCTAATAAAGAAAGGTCATTTCTAATATTTTCTAACCATGTATTTTTAGGTCTAACACTCCCTTTCTTAATATAAGCCAAGTCTAATACATCTACTCTCCTAACCGGGTCATTGGTAGGCCGTCGTTTTATGTGACCAAACCATCTAAGGCGACCATCTCTAATATTATCTTCCACTAGAGCTACTCCAACCTTTTCACATATATGCTCGTCTCGTATCATACCTCTAAGAGTAAAGCCACTCATCCACTTGAGCATCCTCATATCTGCAACGCTTAACTTAATATTATGTTTTTCTTTTAATGGCCAACATTTTGCACCATAAAGCTTTGTGATAAGCCTTGGAAGCAAAAGCAGCAAACAACAAATAGAAAAACTACAATAAAACCAAAATAGTGGCTTATTTTTTATTAAAACTTCAATAAGAAACAACAAGATATAGGTGATCTACAATTCAAGAGATAGATCGGCTCTCCCAAATGACCTAGACACTGCTAGGAAGCCTCCAAGAAAAACTACAGCAGAAAATCCAACATAAAGCATGCCCCTAAACCATAAACAACAACTCCTTAAATAGCCACAACACAAAAGAACGTAACAAGAAACTTCCTAATTAAAACTTCCCGAAATAAAATCCTTCATAGCAGATAATAACACAATAAGGAAGCTTTCCTATCACACACACACGGGCCCAACAAGGGGGTCGAAAACCCTGATTTTCTTCCACCTAGTTCTGTTGGTTCGGCTCTTGCTAGACTGGCTGGCCAGGCCGGCCCCCTCCCGTCTCACATTGCAGGTCTCACCAACATCTCATAGAATTTTCCCTTAAGTTTAAGAGCGACTTTTCTATCACAAAACAAGCCATATTTATTCCTCTACTTCAACCATCCAACTTGAATTATGCTAATAATATCCCCATCTATTTCACCATCACTATGATCAATAGACCCAAGATATCTAAAGCATGTACTCTTATTAATGACTTGATCGCCCAAAGTCACAATCCTCCACTAGATCTATTACTATTAAAATTACACTCTACATATTCAATTTTAGATCCGCTCAAACGAAAGCCTTTAAACTCTAAGGTTGGCCTCCATAATTCAAGTTTACCTTCAACTCCCTCTCTAGTCTTATCAACAAGAAGAATATCATCAATAAAAAGTATACACCAGGGTACAACCTCTTGCAAATGTCCAGTGAGAACATCCATGGCAAAAGCGAAAAAGATATGGGCTAAATGCTGATCCTTGATGTAATCCAACTGAAATAGGAAAATACTTGGTCAAACCACCTTGTGTTTGAACACAAGTAACAACTCCTACATACATATTCTTAATGGCTTGAATATAAGCATTATTAATCCCTTTCTTTTCTAGAAGTCTCCATAGCACTTCTTTTGGAACTTTATAATTATGTATTTCACTCTTAACAAAACAATTGAAATTTATCATTGGCATCAACCTTACCTGAACATGGGGTCCACTTTATGCATTCTCATTCATCATTCATTATTATTCAGTGCCACGTTAACTCTATTTTGTAGAAAGATTTATTCACAATTATATCCATGTTACTTTGAACTATACTTTTTTTCTTCCTAATCCTTCTACAATAAATGTACTCATCTTATCTATGCATCTTTTGCTCTATGTTGTATACAACTAAACCAACTTAAGTTTATTTCTCAATATTTTATCTTCAATTATTCCCACTACCTTTCTAATATGATAAATGCTCAACATATCTTTCTTAGTTTTAATGCATATCTATGTTAACATCCTCATTTCCAGTCCATTGAATATGGTTACTAGTGACTTCTTTATCTCCCTACGCTTGGATTCATATAGCATAGTCATTTTAATTGCAGTTTTACAAAATAAGCCTTAAAATTTTCCATAATGTTCTCTTACCGCATAACACTCCTAAGCATTTATTGTTTTTTACCATAAATTTTTAAATCCAAAAACCAATTTTCATTTATATGCCCAAGCTTTCGTACACAAGATTCAAGATACTTAAAAACATAACACATTTTGCATCCCTTAATGTTCCAAATATATCATCCAATCATTATTAATTCTGCTCCTACTAAAATTGAATATCATATGTTTGATATTTGTTCTGCTCACTCTAAACCTCTCTCTCAATCTCTCCATCTCTCTCTATTCTTCCAGTACTAAGCCCTTGATCTTCTTAATTTTTCTCTATTGGTTAAAATTTTCACCTATTGCAACTGAGATCTCATCTATCATAGCTAGTTAACAATAAATAGAATATAACAATCATTTTAAATATCCTTTGTACATTTCCAATATTAATACAAAAGGATACAAACTTAATATTAGTCAAAGATATAATTCTATTCTGACTGGAAGCTCTTTAGGGTTGTTTTTTGCAAGTAAAAGAAAATTGGATGTATTCTAAATATAATGTAATATAAATGCACTGTTTTTTAAAATCAAGGGGATGTTTTTTTGTATTTGGTTGAAATAATAAAACTTAGAATAAAATATAAGAGAAAAAAAAATGTAACCAAGCATCATGACAGGAGAATGACGAGAGGTCATTGGGGCGGCATTGACGGACCAATGACTTGCATGATGGGAGTTTGATAGGAGCTCACTGAGGTGGCAACAATGGGAACGATGGCTTGCACGACAGGAGATGTCTTAGGCAATGTCAATGGGATCGATGGCTCACTGGAGTGGCATCAATGAAACCTAAAGCATCACAATTTAGGCAAGGGAAGAGATCTCAACAGAGGTGCAAAGAGATCACAACCCTTGATCAATGGAGATGCTATAGTGCTGGGAAGACGTCAATGTGAAACAATGCCGGAGCAGTGCAAGGACTACATGACGCGATGGTAGGAAGTTGAAGAAGACTAGAGGAGGTGCATGAATGAGTGATTTGTGCTATGGGAGGTAGAACGAGATGGTGTATTCCGAATTCGGCTGATTCAGGCAAAATCAGAATACACATAGATAGCCTAACAAAGTTTATTCCGAATTTGTTCGATTCGAATGAATTCCGAAACACATTGATAGCCTAGTAAGTGTATTCCAAATTCTTCAAATTTTTACTTTGTATTTATTTCACTTCAAACTAAACACCAATAACTAAAATCCCATGCATTCATTTTACTTTATAATCAAAATATTTCAAAATAATAGCACTTTAAGCACTCCATAATTACTTATAATGCTAGGCAAAAGTCCATCATAAATTTAATACCATCAAAATATCAATAGCATACATTTTTTCTTCTTACACCAAATAAAATATCATATGTTTTCTCAAGATAAATAATAATAACATGAATATTTTTTCTATGAACTATACATTCCACTAATTATCTTGGTACAAAAAGTACTTTCATAGAAGATCTTTTTAGCATAAAATCAAATTGGTTCTCCAATACCAATACAATTTTTCTAAGCCTATGTCTCATTAAACTCTTCTATAACTTCGTTGCATAACACAAAGTTTGATTCTCCAATAGCTAGCCCTAAAATCCTCATATTCTCAAATAATACCACTAAAATGTTTATTTGATTATTTGTACATGCAAGATTTATTTTAAACTTTGCTAAAGCTCATATGGTAACCTTCATAATGCCAATAGTTATCTTATCCCACATCTAATTTGATTCAACTGTAGGATTCCAATTCACCTCTTCAAACAAATTGTATTGGAACGTCATAATTTGCAAAAATTGGAATCCACCCGGCCACTCAAATTAACAGGAACAATAGACTAAGAATCTCACAGCTCTACAGGTAAAACAAAGCTAATAGTAGTTCTCAATTCAAACTTGAAATGGAACTATGAACATCTTATTTTCTTGTAAGAAACTAAGAAGAATTTATTTGATGATTTGGTCACTTGGTCAAGCTCTCTTAGCTATCAGAATAACCAAAATAATATGAGAAGAAGAAAAAAGAAGGAAAACTATGCCAATCTGTTATAAACAAACCAGATAGCAAAAATTATCAAGCTTAAAAACTGTCTACAGAGGAATGTGACCGCTTCACATTTTAAAAAAGGATTCATGTAGCCGACCCCACGTAGTGGGATAAAGGGTTTCACATTTTTATTTCATTGTTAGCGTTCTGAAAAGATTCAAAAACTTAAAGCCTATATCATTATATGGTTAATAACAACAAACCCCAACTCTCCTTAAAACATAACCGATGCCCTATAAAAAAGTATTCGTTCCATTTATTTAAAAAAGACTAGCATATTCTTACTTGTTTATGCTGAGTATGCTGTAGTACTACAAAACGTTTCAAGTGGACAATTGCCCAAATTTTATAAAAATTCATCAAGAACAACAATTCAAAGAGCGACCTGCAACTCTTGAGAAACGAGCAAATGAAGCCATCACCTCCGGGATGCATCGTCATCCTGTACGGTAACTCCTCTCCCGTCCCAACCCTGTGCACCTGAAATCATTTGTTCACAAAGGGAAAACATTACATGTACAAAAGATAAAAACTCAAGGGTTCTATAAAAGCTCAGACCCTATTATGCGTCTTAAAATATAATCAATCAAGGATTCCTGTTCGGGGTATGACATGATTTACCGGATAATCAGAGAGGGATCGAGATTCAAAATCGAAGAGGGTGAGAAGAATAGCGTTGGGGACGCCGCTGTGCCCCTCGCCCCCGCCTCCACCTAGCGCAAGCAATAGCTTGTTGGCACGAGCCGGAGAAAGGGCGGAATTTGCTACAACGTCAGCCGCTCCATCGCCTTCCGTTGTCGCAGGGGTGTTTCCTTCATCCTCCGTTTTTTCTAACGCCTCTTCGGCAGCGGCGACGGCATCCGGTGAGGAGGAGATCCGATCGAGGGGAACCCACGCGGCACAGTACAGCGGCAGGCCGTAGGTCTTGGAACAAGGCGGTACTTCTCGCCTGCCCTTCGCCATTATCTTCTTTCTCTGCTCGTGCTCTCAATCTGAATGCGATCCTATCAGGCGTTCACCTCAGAGCTTAGCAAGAAGGGTTTAATTCTGCGAGAACTCATCAACATGTCCGACATTGGCTTTGCCTTCATGGGAACGAAAGATCAAATAACTGCAAAATTGCTTATTGCTGAGTAATTTTCATACAGACTGGAACAAAAAGCAAGGAGTCAGAGAGCTGTACAAATCCTAGCATCGCGTGTCTTAGGGGCTGTTTGGTATCGGATTTACAGCGGGATTTAAGTCGGATTTACGCTAAATCCAGCCAAACGGTTTTTGTGCAGGCGTTAATTTCTTAATTAGACTTAATTTAATTGCTTAATAGATTTAATTTAAAATATAACTATTAACTACTTAAATAAATGATTAGTGGTGTAAATTTAATTAAATAATTAGTTATTAATAAAATATTTAATAGTATATAAAAATAATTAGTTATTAATGATTAGCGGTGTAAATATTAATTAAATAATTAGTTATTAATAAAATATAATTACTTGTAATTTCATAATTATAAGAATAATTATTAATTAAAATTTATTAGATTTATTAAATCCCACTAAAGTTAAATCCCACTTGTTGCCAAACAGCCCTTTATGGTTTTTAACTCAATTGACAGAGGAAAAATATGAAGGGAAGATTTCACATATCCAGCTGTCTGAAGAATTTTTCTTCAAAAACCAGATGAATTGTGGAAATATCACAAGAAACCTCTCGTAGGATTTGATTTAAAAAAATTATATATTGATAATATATGACAAATTTAATATTCTTAATACACTAAATATCTCATTATTTTATTATTTAGATAAATATATTTGAAGTTTTATTTCGAACAAAATCTCATGTCTATCAAATATTTTAATAAATTTTTGAAATAGAAAGTTTGCCAGATGTGACGTAGTAAATTTCATGCCTTTGATAATGTGAGAGCTCAGTGAAATTTTAAGATGGCTTGGACTTTACCATCATCATTTGTTCAAGGTTAATTATGCTATATTTTTTATTATGTATATTTGCATGCAATTATGGCTGACAATTATAAGTTATAATAGAAAGGAGATTAAAGTAGAATCTTGTATTCAAAAAATTAGTAAGCCGTGAATTTATAATAAGATTTTCGATCTGATGGATAAAACTATTGGATAGTTTGAGTGATTTGATCTTATTGAAAGGGTCGATAAATGCTCCTTTAGGCTTTTTTTTTCAGCTTACAAGCTGCAACTCTATGAAGCATATTTCATAAACTATAATTACAAATGGTCGATGATGAGGAGGATGAGAAATGCTCTCTTGTGTTCAACATTCATGATAGAAACACAATATTTTGAGTAGTTGAATTTGAGTAACACAATATTTGAGTAATTTTTTTATATGAGGAGAAATTCAAGAAGGGATGAATTATTAGGCTTATTAATAATTAGCAAGATTGAGACAAGAACTTTAAAAATGCGGACGTGGAGAAAACATTCATGTTATGCACTTAGAGGGGTAATATACGAAAGTTTGATTTATAGTATATTATAGATGATTTTCTACTCAACCATGGTAAGCACCATGTTGTTTTTATGAGATGATTGCCTTGGTCGAAGACAAGTAAGCATTTTTTGAATACACATGAGGTAGGCTATCATGGAAGATTATTTGAAGGGTCAAATAAGAATATGGTTTACTATGTGGCCACCATTCTGAAAAATAATGTCCCATCTACTAAATAATCACTTAATATGTTACAGCATTACAGTATTAAGCGTATGAAGTCATTCTAGAACAATGGACACAATGTGAAAGTATCTTAGAGAGAGAGAGAGAGCACAAAGATATTGAGAGTAATAAAATATTTACAAGCAAATTTTTCTTGTCATTATCAATGAATGAAAATATAAGTTGCATGCAAAATATTATATTTTGAGTTAATTTATGTTAACTATTATTATAAATTAACTTTCAAGCATGCTTTGAGTTATTTTTAATAGATAATATTTTAAGCCTACAATAGTGCATAGCATTAATGAAGAAGGCTTTTATAAGTCTATTATATATACTCATTCTTATATTCTCCCCAATTAATAGGACACAATGGAGAAAAAGGATTCATGTAGCCGACCCCACGTAGTGGGATAAAGGCTTGATGTTTTGTTGTTGTTGTATTCTTATCTTCTCCCAAATTAAATTTGTAAAGAAGAAGAAGATGATGACCACCACATATTTTGCGGGTGGTATTCATGCTAAGAAAAAAGTAGGAAGGGAAGTTGAAGAACAACTAGATGCTAGTTAAGTCCATTCGCTCTTCCAATCAACTAAAGCAACTTTTTATAATTATTAGGAAATTGATAATAATTAATTCTTTTTTTAGAATAATCAGCTAAATTCTGAGCAAAAATTAGTTTCTTGATTAAGCATAGTTATGTATGTAGGCATGCGAAGAAGAATAATGATTTTGATTGTGTCACAAATATGAGTGAGGCTAAAATAGATAGTAAGGATCCCTTTTTTTGTTGACTTAATAATTCACATTGAGATTTGGAATGAGGTGGAGTAGGAGGATAATATAGATGTTCTTACCACAAATTTTATGATTCCTTTGGAGATTGGAGATGATGTGGTGCCTATCTCTTATCATTGTGCCTATAGAAGATGTAAAAAAGAAGAATAAAGAATAAGAGGAATTCAATTAGCGGCTTCATAGATCCATCAAGTAATATGCACAAGTCAATGAATCGAAGGGCTATTAATCCTTTTTTCCTGCTCATGAAGAGAAATTAATTTTTCTTCAAAGCTTAGCTATCAGGATTGGAGGACAACTTCAAATAGAGGAAGATAGAAGTGGGCAGTGAAAGCTTGTCGAAAGCTATGTTTATTTGCAAGGGTTAATTAAACCCATGTATTTTCATATCTCATGTCATTTGTAATAAAATTTTAAGGGAAGGAGAAAGATTCAAAGAAGAGAAAGGAGGATGCATGATCAAGATGTTGGCTTTTGCTTAAAATGCATATTTATAAGGTTTTTAGAGCGAGAGGGAAGCGTAACACCTTTACTAACATGCCTCATCGATCATAATCTTCAACTCGTCTATCATTAATTAAAAGAATCGATTAGTTAGTTAGTCCCACTTAAATCGATGAATCTTAAATGCCAATATGGAGTGAAACTACTCCATTGATTGGCATTAATTCATTCAAAATCTAATATGAGAGCGACTCTCTTCTATCACATTCCACTCGGACTCCACTAAACCTTCCATCTTTCCAAAATGGTTCCACAAAAATCTCATTAACATTAGATTACTTAGCTCAAATCTCACTAAATAGTTTGCGAGTTATCAACATTCTCTAAGCTGAGCTTAACCATCTAAAATCTTTAGTCAAATTCCTTTACTTTACAAAAATATTAAAACTTTGTCCAAATATTATAGTAATCATCTCCACTCACATCACTCGTCTAATCCCATTACATAATTATGAAAAAGCTCCAAAGATCCCCTATAACTTCATTATGTCTTCACGTTTTAGTTTTAGTTTTCTCTTAAGAACATTTGTTCATTAGCAGTCTGGCCACATAGTGTTTGACATATGATATTTGACCACTTCCTAGGTTACCACGTCTCACTATGCCTTCTACTACAAAAAATTGTCCTCCATACTGTAACACCCTAGGATCTAATGTAATAATTTAAATTTATTTAAACCTAAAATTAATGTGATACCCCAGCATCTAAATCAACATCTAAATAGGAAGAATTAATGTTTTATCTTTTAATAAATAACAACCAAAGCTATGTAATATCATCTATCAGTAATAAACAACAAAAATAAATTCTATAATTCAAAACATTAATGTATACATTTGTATTCATTCCTAAAAATCATATATACTACTCAGGATCTACACAATCATATCACAATTACTCTGTCCTGAGAACAAAAGAATAATTAGAACAAAAAAATAGAGCCTGAAGGATTAACATGTAGTAGTAGTAGTATAATTTATAAATAATAAAACACTATAGTACAAAAGCCAGTAAAGTAGTAAACTAGTACTAGTGTCAAATCTATAAAATAATCATCATATTGGTAATACCAATCAGAATATAAATTATATCGATAAAGACTATTGAAATTAAATCAATATAGTAAAATCATATTGGAATGTACATATGTTATCCAGGTATTCTATATCATGTGCTCAGAATATCACATGCTTAGTATAAGTATAGTAGATCAGTAGTATCAAATAGTATCAGTATTATGCCAGTAACAGTTTAGTGGCAAAAGCAATAGAATAATGCAATAACAGTAAATCCATACAGTAATAATAAATCATATAATAATAAAAATAATGCCAAAAAAATATACATTTTAGTAGTAACACTAAATAAATAAGAAGTCCTAACTATCACAATATTTTTAGTACTATATCAATATCAATAAATTATTGGCTCAATAAATAGAATCGTAACTCTATGTCTGTCGGCACAGTAATTATCTCCTTATAACTCCTAATTAGTGTATCATGTGAATCGATAGAGGATAACACCAAACCATAATATTTAAAGAAAAACTCGTCGGCCCACCATCATGTATAGGTCAATCAGTCTTCAACCAACAAGTCAATCAGTCTTTACTTGTCTTACACACACATTATTATCTTAAAGTGAGCAAATTTAATATTTTATTTGTAAGTAGTGGGGTGATTAAAATTAATTTATAATATCACCTCAAATATTATGGATATTTTATTGCAAGATAATTTGAGTTTGTATTATTTATATCAAATTATATTTTTCATTTTCTTGATCTAAGTCATTTTGCTTAGTCATGTTTTAATTTAAGTAGATTGGGTTGTACTCTTCCGTATAGGATAGTACTTAGGTTGTAAAGAACTTCTTAGATTTAAAGAAGTGAGGTTTGTAAAGCAAACCTAGGATTAGTGAATTTTAGCCTGAGAGTTGGCTAGCGTGAACGTAGGTCGGATTGGAATCCAGGCCGAACCACGTAAAACTATTGTGTCTCTTATTTTCATTTCTTGAATGGATTTTTCTTTATCTTTTTCATAAAAATTATGTGATTTCTTATTCTTTTCAAAATAGTTTTAAAATCATTTTAATTGCCTTCGTTTAATAAAAATTTTAAAAAACCCCAATTCACCCCCCTGCCCTCCTATTGGGGTGCCATAGTTATCCAACAAGTATTAATGGTAGTGTAGGTCCACTTATAGGAGTAGCTT